TTCTGTGTGTTTTTCGCTGGCACAGGAGCAGAGCAAAGATGGGGTGACCCGTTTGCTATGAAGCTGAAACTAAGACTACCAGACTACCAGACTACCCCCACCCCCCAAAAAAACCCAGGAAATTCGGGGTGAGTACCGGCACCTTTGTTTTAAGTAACTTGATGGTGTGTACCCAGGTTCCCCCTCTTTCCCCCTCCCCCTTTTTACGCTCAGAGAGAAAGCAAGACGAACATGTAATCAAACTACTACTGGTACAATTGTTACTGGAACTTTGCGCTGGTTGTCGAAGATAGGAACGGAGCGCTTATGGGAATTCCCCGAGTGCTGTGATGTCAGTACTTGAACCAACTGAACTCAACTCAATCCTTTGTTCTTTCTTTCCCCTTGCAAAATCTCCTTGACTAGCACTGTAAAGCCAACACGTGCAAGGTGTGGGAAACTGGTCTTTTACCCCACACATCAGACTTCGGCGTGTTTCTGAAACATGTGTTTCTAGGTTAGTTCGACGTTAGTCTCCCGAAACCCCGCCCATATACACACTAGCTGACTTCTGATTGGTAGATCTTGGACTCTGTTTCCTTCGCATGGAGAGGGAAAAAACATGGAGAAACTGGATCTAACGCAACGCCCCTAGGGGGTGCTGCAACCTGTGTCACGGGCTTATCTTTCTCGGAATGAAAACGTAAATGCAAGACATCACAGAAACCAAACAACAGAGCGGAGCACACCCGTAAGCTTTAGGAAAGTCGACCAGCCCAACAAAATACCATGGGGTCGTTTTACTGACTGTATTGTTTGGTTCATAAGGGTTGTTTTTACAGAGATGTCCAGAATCATCGCTGGAGCTAAAAAATGGGGAAGCCAGACTGGTCTGAACTGGTCATTGTATAGTCTGTTCCTATTCTGATTATCTTTCTGCATTCACTGTCCTTTCTATCTCTGCCCCCCACCTCTCTCTCTCTCTCTCTCTCTCTCTCTCTCTCTCTCTCTCTCTCTCTCTCTCTCTCTCTCTCTCTCTCTCTGTCTATGTAATTGTCTCTGTCTGTTCCCCCCTCCCTCGCCTATCTCTCTACCTCCACGATCCCTAGCTCTTTCTCCCTCTTTCTCTCTGTTTCTTTCTCTCTGTCTCTGTCCGTCTGTTTAGCTGTGCGTCTCTCTCTCCCGCCTATCTTTCTACCTTCACTATCTTATTATCTCTTTTCCTCCTCTTTCTTTATCTCAGTCTGAACTTCTTGCTATTTCGTTTATCTTTCTACTTCCACTACTTCTCGCTCACTATTTCTCTCTTTCTCTGTGTCTCCGTCACTGTCTGTCAGTCCGTCTCTCTTTCTCGCCTATCTTTCTACCTTCACTGTCTCTGTTTTTGTCTGTCTGTTTGAGTACCGGCCCGTCTCTCCCTCTTCTGCCTATCTTTCTTTCTACTCCCACCATCTTTCGCTCTCTTTCTCCCTCTGTGCCTCTGTCTTTAACCGTTTGTCTGTCTGTCTGTCTCTCTTTTCCGCCTATCTTTCTACCTCCACTATCTCTCGCTGTCTGTTTCTGTCTCTCACTGTCTAAGCATGCCGCGCCCCTGGGCGGACAGCTACTTTAGGTGGTGAAGGCTGTCTGGAATCCAGTGAACAGTGGAGAACGAACGAAATTTTCTTTTCCTAGGATCAAAATTGGGCACGCAGGTCCGTCTTAGATTCGGCCCTTTCGGATACTCATCTGTTATACCGCAATTGCATTTTAGCTTTAAAGCTTGTTATATTTATAAAATAATATATCACGTCATCATCATCATCGTGTAGCAGGTCATTTGCAGAACGTCGCTCTCATCACGGTCTGCCTGAAAGAAGCTCGGTCTCTCGCCAGCTCTCCCGTCTCATGCACTTTAATACTCAAGGAGTCACTATATATCCTGTGCCCATCTTCGTGTTAGTCGGCCCTGCCCCTCCTTCCTGGTACCATGCCTTCTGCTACATACACACATACACACATACACACGAACACACATACACACAAACACGCATACACACATACACACATACACACAAACACACATACACACATACACACATACACACATACATACATACATACATACATACATACATACATACATACATACATACATACATACATACATACATACATACATACATACATACATACATACATACATACATACATACATACATACATACATACATACATACATACATACATACATACATACATACATACATACATACATACATACATACATACATACATACATCCATCCATCCATCCATCCATCCATCCATCCATCCATCCATCCATCCATACATGCGTAAAATCATCCATATACACACAAGAAGGATTTATATGGAAGTGATTTTGGGGTCTGGACCAATTTATACCCACAGGAATTTTTAAACAGGTGGTTACAGACGCCATTTTATGGAATTTCTTCGTTGGCTACTGGGAAAGGGACTGAGCACCTACAGGGATGTCTAAAGTGTAATGGTAGTAATGTCTCACTTTGTTTTTAAAATCAGCTGTGTCCTCTCCACAATAAAAGTTGGCACATCGGATGTGTGCGCAATCTGCTGCTATGTTACAATTGGGCATGAGCTCAATAAACGACAGCTTAGTCGTTGCGAACGCGCTTTGTAATGCCGTAGCTGCCGGGAGTGACCCCAGCTGCAGGCGATTTGTCAGCAGACCGCCTGCCGGACAATAAAAAGGGCAAATCACTGACCGTTACGTTGCTTAGAACAGTGGTTCTAACCTTTTTCGCCGCAGCACCCTTGTCGTACAAAAAAAAAAAATTCGCGGCATACCTTTCCTTAAAGCTGTTTGAATGCTTAGAAAAAGAAGGAAAAACAATGCACATCTAATATTCAATCGTCTTTAGTTCGATGAATGAAACTGGATGCACTTTTCGTTACACCCTTTATGTATGTGGGAAGTTTAGTTGATTTTAACCCTCAAATCACGTGACCCATAAAGTTTGCCCCTGTGTCTGTTTTTTATGTGAGTACGCTGAGAATACACTGCACAATAACATTGTTTTCTGAATCCATCAGGATCCAGAACTCTTCTTGGCTTCCTTCGCGGTATTTCTGTTTCAAACTGCTGCCTTTGCTTATCTCAAGCAGATTTGGAAAAATTCTTGATTATCGCCACGGCACCCAGTTTGAGAACCTCTGAGCTTGAAAAATCACGAACAGCCGATAAATGCTGAGGTTGGTTCTACAGCGTCCTGGACAGGATAAGACTCATAATTTGCAGGGACCTTAGACAATTCACTTCTTTCCCCTACAAATGCAGTTTTCTTTTAATACCTTTTTATTTTTACAGTTAGTCAGTCAGTAGCATGCCCTTTGGAGAACTTTGCTTCCATAACAACCTTCCGGAAAACTTCTCGATCATAAGCAAGATGTCCCGTGTCAGAGACATCCATCTGGAGATCATCCGCCACATTCTGCACTTTTTGTTAGAGATAATTAACATAAAAAATAAATAAATAAAAAAAAAAAAAAAAGCGAGTGCAACTCAGTTTGACTTGTCATCATGTGTATAGAAAGCGACATGTCGTGTAGCAGATCTTTTGTTGATGTAATCAACTATTTTGCCTGAAGGAAATCAAGAACAATAAATGTTGTAAGTTGTATTATAACTAAAATTCCCATGATCCATATACTAAAGGACGTATATATTCCAACTGTTTCTCAGGTTAGCACGTGGTATTTAAAACGGCAGAGGCCTCAGTGCTTTAGAAAGCTTAGGACCTTAACAAGTCTGTATCTGGCCCTGCACTACTGTCTTTAGAAATATTATGTGGTGAGGTATCTCCCTCCCTTCCATTGGGTAACTCTCTTACCACTACCGACCAGTCACCAGAAATGTCTTTGTATTTATGTACTGTCCTCTGATGCCAGCCTGGTAGTTCTGGAGTGTGAAACGCAGTCATTACCTGCTATGCCTCGAAGCCGAGCGACATCTTCCTGATTGTGTGAGCTCTTCTTGATGCCTGAAGTGTTTATAATATATTTTTCTTGGGTCCTGGTGATTTATTTTGGATTATTGATGCATATGTTTAGGCTGTTCTTGATTAAGGTTTCTGTCGTAATCCATTTTTTGTTTGTTTGATGTCCTCGTAATTTACTGTGGTTGGGTAAATGTTGTCGATTAATGGTTTTCTTTCTTTCTTTCTTTCTTTCTTTCTTTCTTTCTTTCTTTCTTTCTTTCTTTCTTTCTTTCTTTCTTTCTTTCTTTCTTTCTTTCTTTCTTTCTTTCTTTCTTTCTTTCTTTCTTTCTTTCTTTCTTTCTTTCTTTCTTTCTTTCTTTCTTTCTTTCTTTCTTTCTTTCTTTCTTTCTTTCTTTCTTTCTTTCTTTCTTTCTTTCTTTCTTTCTTTCTTTCTTTCAGTAGTTGTTTCCTTCCGTCTGTCTGTATGCCTGTCTGAATCAGAGTCGCTGTACAGCTTTGTGTAACAGAAAGACAAAAGCAACAAAAGATGGGACGCAAGCAGACACGGGACAGCATAAGATGGGACACAAGCAGACACATAAAAACATCAGATAGGATACAGACAGACACAGGACAACATAGGATAGGACACAAGCAGACACCGGACAACATAGGATAGGACACAAGCAGACACCGGACAACATAGGATAGGACACAAGCAGACACCGGACAACATATGATAGGACACAAGCAGACACCGGACAACATATGATAGGACACAAGCAGACACAAGACAACAGGATGGGATACAAACAGATTTAAGACAATATAAGATAAGACACAAACATACACAGGACAACACAGGATGGGATACACACAGACACAAGACAACATAAGATAGGACACAATCATACACAGGACAGCATAGAATGGGATACAAACAGACATAGGACAACATAGGATAGGACACAAGCAGGCACAGAACAACATAAGATGGGATACAGGCAGACAGAGGACAACATAAATGGGGCACAAGAAGACGTGGGACAACATAAGTTAGGGCACAGGCAGACGTAGGACAACATACCTGTCTACAGCAATGGCCACCATGATAAAAGCCGACAAGGGTACGTTGCTGGTAATCAGAAACTCGTAAGCTTTGCATAAGAAATCCAGATACAGACGCGAATCCAATCCAATATTTGTCACTGTAAACGGCATAATGATAAGACACGTGAAAAAGTCGGTCCAGGCCAGGGCGAGGATGAAGATCGTTGACGTGACCTTGTCGCTTTTCTTCGTAAACACGTACAGGACTAAACCGTTGCCCAGGCAACCAAAGATGCTGAAGATGACCAGCATGCACATGACGGAAATGATTTTCTCTTGGCTGAAGCCAGATGCGACTCCTTCACTCACGTACACATAAGTGGTTTCTGTTGTAAGAGAGATAACCAGGGGCTGACTGAAATTCAAGTTATTGGTGATATCGTTTTCAAGTCTGGGGTCGTCGTACTGTTGCGAGATGTCATTTCTTCTGCTGATGTTTCCATCGTCGACCACGATGATAATGTTGTTGAACACGGTTGAGACAGTTGAAGAAATAACACCACTAAGCGACATTGCTTTTGATTTTTTGTTTCTGAAAATATTTGTATTATGTCCCTTGTAAGTATTTTGTTCTCTGAATGACTTTCCTTATTATATTTTTTTTTTAAAGTTACCTCCAAGGATTCTAAAATCGCACTTTTGAATCCTGATTTTTCCGTCTCTGTTTGTTTCATCTCATTTCATCCATGAGTGTTAATTCATATGTATTGTTTTTCATATTTTTGTTTCACTTTTCTTACCTCGTCCGCCACGGTTGTATTTTTTGGGGGCACATGTTACATCCACAAATCTGATACTTATAACAGTTATGGCGTTACCTTTCTTAAGTCTGTAAAAATGTTGATTTGATATCTGGCGTGTTTGGACTACTCTGGTAAGTGTTGTGCAGATTACGTATCAATATTGCTCAAATATTTGTGGTAGTGAGTACGAGTAAGACTATGTTGACACGAAAGTATTTTTCAATAATATGGTTTATAAATCCCAAGTAGAGTTTTTACATTTGTTAAACACTTCTTAAAACACAGAGAGCAAGCGTAATTTTCACAAAACGTGTGCCAACTACCACTGCCACGGTGCTGTTTAAACAGATGTTATTCTCACCGTGCGTGTGTGTGTAAAATCTTCTCTCTTAAAGTTGTTTATGGGGTTGTAAACAACGGTCTCATGGATATTTATAGATGTCCTTTCTAGTGACAGTAAGAGAGCAAAGAGGCAGACACCTCAACACGTAGTCTTTCAAAGGTGTGTGACAATAAAGTCCCGGTTAGATTGACGCAAACACAGTCACCACCTTGAAAAGTCCACTAAGCAGTGCCCTACTCAGCCTCAGAAATACACCATCCATTTGTTCCAAACCCCTAGTCAACTGCTTGCCTTTTCTGCCTCATCCTTGGATTTCTGCCGCTCATCCCGTTCCCTCTACACAAATTATTACCTATGAATTATTAACAATAAACACATAAAACGCCGTCAAAAAAACAGCATTTTATCGGTATTTTATATCTTCCCCGACACTGGAAGTGGTAAAAGTGAACGTGGAGAAGAATAAAAAGAAGAAGAATTTTATCGACCTCACAGATTCGATTACAGAAGATAAATAATCGGTGTCAAACAGTCAATAAGGAGACCAAACACTTTCCGACATGTTTTGATTGACTGCACACAATAAATATTTGACTCTAGCGAAAAATCGAATATGGCGAATTTCTGTGTTAACGGTGTAACTGAACAATATGGTCAAGATATAAGTGGAGCGCTCGATACGATACCAGAAAAACTGATAGGAGGCAAATTTTGTTGATAGAATGTTATTACCAGATTTAGATGCAGAAGTCCAATGAGAATGGCAGGTTTATGTATATCGATTTTTTTTATCGCTGATTATAGAAAAGATATTGACTGTTTAGACGGTCGTGCCTGGTTCGACTGTTTGACCGTCCTTATCCAGAGCGACCTGGCCAGTTTCAAACAAGCTTGCCAACTCATCACTGCAGTTGCCTTTTTGTACTCTCTTTTTCTTGTACTCTCTTTTTCTTTCTGTTGATAATGAAATTCAAGGTTTCCCTTCCAGTACTGCTGAAATAAGTTACCATTTTCTTCACAAACAGGAACACATAATCATTGTAAAAGCCTTGTTGTAGTACGCAACATCTTGTACTCGGGGTGAAAGGCGGGGTGAGAGAAATAATTCAGTTTTCGAATTACACAAATGCTTTCTGATGTGTTGTTGTAATTATCTTTTTGTTTGTATTATTTTGTTTTTGTCTATTGTTTTTAAGGATATCATGCACTGTAAATACATTCAGCTTCAAGATGAGTAAACACTTTTGTGTTTTCTAGACCTTGAACAAAAAAGAAACACTGAAAAGTCCACCAGTCGACTAATTCCACGAATTCAGAAACACTTCCCACTGAAAATTGCCAACCGTAAATATACTAATGTGGAGGGCATAACCTTTAATTCACAAGTCGCAAGGGCGGTAATTGCATGAAATAAAATCCAGCCAGGCGTGTTGTATGCCCCTTACAAAGAACTGTTTCGGTTGGTAACAATCTGTCTGCTATTTGCGTGGATGTTGATAAAACATTCTCTAACGTAACAAACTCAATTATCCCTCTCGGTTTTTGATGACCAACTTGTCCGGTTCCGAGAGAGACACTGGAAAAAGTGAAACGTCTCCCTGATGTTGTAGACGATGTTATGAATGTTGTAATTAAATGTTGATGGTGTCAATTTCACAATGTCGGCAAGGTGGATTTCTGGTTTTCTAAAAACTTTCTGTAGATGATATAGCACGGTAATGCTTTAAGGAAAGGCAGTAATCTGCAGACGGTTTTTATCTGCAGCCTTTAGAGTATTTCCAAGAGACTGAGGTATTCTTCGGAAATCACGTCGTTCATCAGTTACAAGAAGATCCAGTTATGGGTTCCACACGCCGACCCCAGTTCTCTGTACTGCAGACTCCTGTTTGCTGTACAGGAATCCAGTTATGGGTTTCACACGCCGACCCCAGTTCTCTGTACTGCAGACTCCTGTTTGCTGTACAGGAATCCAGTTCGGTGTACTACACCCCAATCTTAGTTGTTCAGAAACCAAGTTTTACTCACTCCATTTTGCTTTACAATAACCCACTTCGAAGTACTAGCCATTCCACTTTGTTCTACGATAACCCAGTTCGGTGTACTACCCACTTCACTTTGCTTTACAATAACCTACTTCGATGTACTAACCACTCCAGTTTGTTCTACGATAACCCAGTTCGGTGTACTACGCACTCCCCTTAGATGTAAAACATCGTGGTCCTATGTATTACAACAAGCTTCCTTCATTACAATCAAATTATATGTAGATCTAACTGTAAAATCAAATTATATGTACATCTAACTGTAAAACATCCAGTTTCCAGTGCTCTGTAAAACAGACTCGTCTGGTTGCAACAACCCGGGTCCCTGTACTATCCCACCTATGTACTTCTAGTTAAATTTGCTTTTGCTGTGAAATAAATGATATAAATGTGTGTTTTGTTTTAACATATCACTTCTCCAACATCCTGTTTTCTTCTTGCCAGAAATGTATATACAACAATTTGAAATCAAGAACCATAATCCCTGACGTAGGGCGGTTCTTAATCACTAGAATTTCATATTCCTGTCGACTGTTCCGGTAACATAAGACTCCTCGTTAAATGTATGTACACAGACAAACACATATCCCGGTATGTAATCAAGACATAATCAATACGTTATAGATGGAGTCTGTCTTCGTGGAATTAAAAACAATACGATTCTTTTCTTCCTGTTTGTTGTGCTGGAAAACAGATAATGGTGGTATCGGAGAAAATGAAATAATAGATTCGTTGCGATGTCTCGGAAACCGTGTAGAGTTTCATATTTTTAATGTTTGACAGAATTATTCAGAATGGCGGAGCGGGTGTAAACTAATGAGCAGGGAGGGATAGTGAAGGGTCGAAGCGAAATGCGCACCCCGAACTTACAGATAACATTTGCGCATGTCTGTTGATGCTGGGAATTGTATGAAGGTCGTGTTGCTGCGATTGGCAGGGACTGCTTGGATGTTTTGGCTCTTATCTTGGGAACCCAACATGTTTATCTGACATCGCCTGCGGTTTTTCAGCTTCCATTGTCAATGACTGATTGCTTTCCCGAAAACTCCATCTTTTGTTTCGTATTTTTGCAGACTCGTTTGGGAAGTGCAAGTTTGATTCGTAGTCGTTACTACGTGCAGTTTTTTTTTTTTTTTAACCGTTGTTGAGAATTGTGGTACCTCAAACTGTCAGGTTCGGTATTTTCTGAAAGTAAAACAAAAAATTTTAATTAATTCTGGAGTATTTTTTTGTTAATACATTAAAAAGACGTGGCTAAAAACGAATTAATCTAAGTTTGAAAAACACGTTAAGAATGGGAGATCACAAGAGAACATTTATAATACTGTCAACTGTCTTCTCTGCGTTAGGATATTTTGGTGAAGCTAGTCTTGTTTATACGGTTATTATTATTAAAAGATGAGTTGAACATAAATTGTGAAAACTGGACGTCTGCTAATGACATTACTACTGCTGTTGCTGCTGTTGCTACTACTACTACTACTACTTCTACAAAAAACAACAAACAGCTGCTGCTGCTGCTGCTGCTGTTACTACTACTACTACTACTACTACTACTACTACTACTACTACTACTACTACTACTACTACTACTACTACTACTACTACTACTACTACTACTACTATTTCTACTCCTACTACTTTTTTCAGGACGTTGCTGAACTAACCGTAGCACTATCTGGCTGTTGTGATTTTTCTAGGCAAATTTACATCCAGTAGTTTGCCATTGCCACTGAAGGTCGGCTCTCGGTACCACGGTCAAAACCATCGCAAGACAAGCCGTCCGCAGCAGTGATCAAAGCCGGCACCCCAATATTACGAAGCGCGTTTGCAACGGCTAAGCCACAGACACTTCTACTACTACTACTACTACTACTACTACTACTACTACTACTACTACTACTACTACTACTACTACTACTACTACTACTACTACTACTACTACTACTACTTCTACTACTACTACTACAACAAAAACAACAACAACAGCAACAACAACACAACAACATCACAACAACAACAACAACAACTACTACTACTACTACTACTACTACTACTACTACTACTACTACTACTACTACTACTACTACTACTACTACTACTACTACTACTACTACTAATAATAATAATAATAATAATAATAATAATAATACTTCTACTACTACTCATCACAATCAAAACTCATCCACACTGGACTACTGGTTACTTCATAATCGTTTTGTAGCGCTACAGTACAACTGTGCTATATGGCTATACGGTTAAACGGGGTTTCTAGGATTTGTACCTGTGTGATTCTCATTCATGAGCTGCTAATTCTACAGGTTGAAATCCTGCGGGGGGGGGGGGGAAATTCGGTGATTGGGGTTGGGGTGGGAACTACCACTA